GCCCCGGGACTTTTTAAGAAAACCTTGTGTTTCCAAGAGAACTGAATAAAAATGAGAGCAAACCGAGTTTTCCTCGATTTTATCCGTGGATATTAGGAAAAGTCAGGAAAATATCAGAGAATGAAAGAAATCAAAAGTTCCAGACATCATGCACCATCAGGAAAAATAACACCAAGACTACGTTAATATGTCGTCCCGGAGAGTATTTATTACCCCTTAAACCCCTCTTTTAATGAGTTTCTTATGACCAATTTCACCTGGAGACGCAACGCTAGCCCGCGATTTTTTTGTGTTAGGATAGTCGTGCTTAAAATGAATTTGAGCTTTATACAGTCATGGGTGCTCTCTTAAAAACTCTCTGGTTCCCAAAAAAGTCGACCTTAAAGACCGAACGCTGACTTGTGAAGTCTGAGGGAAAACTTCCGACGAAAATCAGGTTAATTTCGCGCTCCCTCGCACTTCATCTTTCTCTTTAAGTGACATGATTTATGGTTGTAACTTTAATTGCGGGGTTCTTGATGAAAATAATGTTGTACCTCTGCGATTCGGCTCCTCTCCGTGCAAACGTTGAATTTTCAGTTAAAGCACTGAGACTGAATTAATCACTGTTTTCAAAGACGCGAAGACAATTTGAATGACCGGCAAGTGTTTATAACCGTGTGCGTACGTGACGTGAAAGCGCTCAGACAGCAAACAATTAGGTTTTGTGACGAAGAATATCTCTAGAGTCTATTATTTTTTCGGTAGAATTGTTGTGAAATTACTCAAGCCTTCTAGTTTTTTGTGCTTTTCCACACAACAATGAAGGCGATATTCATTAGAATGGACACAGCACTGAATTCATTTTGATCAAGAAACACCAGACGTATACCTATTTTGTGCTTCCAAAGTTCTAAATGACTTTTCAGAGTGAAAATGTAGAACGCCCTCGCGATTAAAGACCCCCAACCAAAATATATTTTTGAACGCATGTCTTTTCAACACAGTTTTTTTAACAAATAAAAACGTTTTATCATTTAGGTACCTGCAGCCATTCAAATTCGCAGGGTTCTCTTCGTTACGATGGGTATCGAATACAAGAATCGTTTTTCGAAATGAATGTAATTTATGGTGGCAGTCTTCAATGAAGAAGCTAAACATGTATAAAAATATGGAACCTTACATGAGATTTCATCAGCAACCTTGAACTTCATCTTATTTACATCTCACTTACTCTTCATTCTCGGACTTTTTCTCTGTTAATTTGAAAAAATTCCCCTGGAAAATTGGACGGTTATTTTAACTTTACCAGCATTGGCAGATCCAGCAAGTTGGCGGTATCGTTTTCTCTGTATTTAAACCCGTGGAAATAAATCGATTCGCGGAAGAGCCAGGTGTACTCCGTTAAGAATCGATCATTCAACACATGGTTAAATGAAGAAAAAATAATGTCGCCCATTTGCTGGATGGCTACTGTTTAACAAAATGTTCCGCAGGGTAATTTATCTCCCTCTCGTACAATTTTTTCCTTCATCTTTTTTTAATAACATCCATTTTCTATCTCATCAATTTTTCTTTTATTTTTAGGGGAGGCTTATCTCCCTCTTGCACAATTTTTCCGTCATTTTTTTCATTAACATTTTCTCTCTCATCAATTTTTTTTTTTTTTTAATTTTATTTTATTTTTTATGGGAGGCAAGGAGAGATGGCGATCCCTCGCCACATGAGAGGTTGAAATACCCGCCGCTCCACCTCCCCATTTTGACCGTAACTTTTGTCCGCTGAACACCGGACGCATGAAAATCCCGGAGAGAAAATTGTGCGCTCCACAAGAACCGCGCATGAGAGGATAGGCGGAAGAGATGAGCCTTAGCTTGGATTTTCGGTGACGGTTACTATTGATCTAGATGGCGGCGCGAAGGCGGTGGTGCGGTGGCGCGCCATGCTCGTCGCTCGCCCGCTCGAAATCCGGAATTTGTTTACTCGATTCAGGTGTGCGCCGCTTTTTCCCGGTTCCGGTTCTCCGTCGCCCGCACGCGGTTTCCCATGCCTCTTCCCGGCTCCGTTTCCGGCTTCCGTCGTTCGCGTTGCGTGTGAATCGATAGCTTCATTCGATATTCGATGGTTCAGGGTGCCTATCGATCCGAAAAATCCGGAAATAGGGGTGAATTTTTGAGGGCGGTCCGGAATTACCGAAAAAGTACGGAAATTCCGCAAGAAATTCCGGAATTTTTCGGTACGTACCGCGTGTAAAATGCGGAAAGTCCGGAATTTTTCGGTACATACCGCGCGTAAAATGCGGAAAGTCCTGAAATGCCACTGAATTTTTCGGACATACCACACGTGTTTTTTTAAGACAGCCTTGAAAGTATGCAAACCCTCGCTAGTTGATTCTTCGTGCAGTATTTTATCGCCCCTCTGATGTAAGGGCGTATCTCGATTTGAATAAGAGTCCTGTTTCACATATAAATCCATGCTTTCTGGGGCTCATGCGGAAATTGAGATACGCCCTTATTACAAAAGAGCGACGATTTGTCCGCTGGATCGCGATTGTGCAGTGAGTGTATCTTCAGGCCACCAATGAGCGTCGTATTTTGTGAATACGTCATTTTTCCACGATTCGCGCGTGAATTCCGAAATTTTGCGAATTTTGTCCCATAAAGATTCTGACATGATAATGCATTTTTCTGGCGAGGAGTTCCTAAAATTTTTGGGAAAGTACCAAAAAAGTACTGTGAAAGTGGTAATTTCTTTTTTTTAAACTTTGCCAGCCAGTTTGAGTAGACACCCTGATTTGATGGGTCCTCACTGAACGAATGGACTGTTTTGATAAGGATCGATTTGCTGCGCTTTTTAAGGGTCGTGCAATTCGACGGGGATATATTCATTGACGATGATACTGAATCAGCTCAGGTAAGCGAACTGAAGGGATGTTTTCTCTGCTCCATTGTCGCCGTCTTATTCGTCAGCTCCTCTCTAAAGCCGTCTTGCAATCGTCAAAATGTCTCAATTTTTTTTAACGTGCTTGCCATTTTTTGTCTTGATTTGCGAAGCCTGGGAAAAGGCTGAATCATTTTTTCTAGGACAGCGGAACGTTTGAAGGTTTGCAAACTGAGAAATCTCTGATTTCCCCAGGTACCTAGTCATTAAAACTGTTGCTGGTTCAGAGTGATCCTGAAAATTTCCTAGCTTCGAAGAAACCGAACCCTCATTGATGGACCGTTTATATCTGAGAGGACCCAAGCCATAGCAGCTTTTGCCAAATTTAACGGGGCAATTTAATTTTTTACATGAGAATATTTGTGCGGATTCCTTTGAAAATTCTAAAGAGTTTGCTATGGTTGTACTATACAGAAAATTCATTGAAATTTGTACAAAAACCCGTACAAACTTTTCATGTAAAAAATCAAATTGCCCGATTAAAGTCGGCGATAGCTGATTTTGTTTGGTTCCCATCTGCTTACGCGGTCCAATCGGCGGAACTGCCAAAATGTGTTTGAAAGCAAAATATGAGCATGATTTAGTAGTAAGGAGAGGTAATCTTCAGGAGAATGTGCATTCTTTTCATTTACTTTTTTATTTATATTAATTTTTGGTGAAAGACACTATTCGAAATACTTGCAAATCTGGCAGTTGAGCTGCTGAAATTGTACGAAGCAATTTTTGAAGGGCTTTAGCGGCGAGAAGGCGCTTGCGAGAGAGCTCAGCTGCTCGGCCTTAATCACTTTCTGTTCAGATCTCCCTTAATCTCTTCTTTGCACAGTTGAGACGTTCAGCTGCCGGCAGTGCTCAATTCAAGTGATGATCCCGTCCATCGCTGTAGAATTTCAACTTCTGATAATTACGGTACTTATTCAGTAGGAACCAGCCTACTCTCTTCGAAAATGAGTTCGGAAGTGAAAAGAAATTTTCTCTGGCACCTTCCTCCATTTTAAACAAATTGGAGTCCATGAATGGGT